CACAGGGTCTTACTCCATTATGATAGAAATTTCTTAATGAGTTTGTCAGTCACTTAAAAAATGTTTTTTTAATAGCTACAAGATACATCACGATGCTGGCCTGGACTGCCGAGGATAATAGACGAAGTATCAAGTTACTTGGCAGCTTGGGAAAGCAAGACATACAGTATGCTATGGTTAGAATGCCCCCATCCAAAACTCATGTTGGTATTCAATTGCCTTTGTAATACTTTCGAAAGGTGGAACCTTTGAGAAGTGATTAGGTCATGAGGGCCTTACCCTCTTGAATGATCAATGCCATTCTCACTGTAGTGAGTTGGTTATCAGTCTCTTGTGACTTCATTTGTCTTTCTTCTATGTATGACACAGCAGGAAGACCCTTAGCAGATGCAGCCCCTCAATTATAAACAACAAGCTTTTACTTTTTATAGTTTACCTAGCCCAAGACATAGTAGAAATGTTAAAGAACATATCAAAATGTCAAGTAAATGGCACAGACAATAAATACTTTAAGATATAAAGAGGAGACAGCCATCTCTGTCAGTTTCTGTAGCCAAAGAATACTATAGAGGGCCAAGGAATAGACATAAAGGTATAATCTTTTTAAACTCCCAGTTTTAAAAGACAAGGTTAGATCTTAAATGGCATAAAGGACTTTGCAGAGGTAATTAGTGTGAAATGACCATGAGATGATCAGAGACGACCTGGGCAAACCCAGTCAAATCATGAGAGAGTGAAAAAAAGTGACAGAGGAAGTGAGTCAGAGGGAAGGCACATGAGAACTCCCCTCTCCAATCATTGCTGACTTTGACAACAGAAGAATAAGACATGAGGTAAGAAGCATGACTGTGAGATTCAGAATGGCCTTCAGTCTACAGCCAACAAAAAATACAAGGATCTCAATCCTACAGCTCCAAGGAACCATAGTTGACTGATAACCCAAATAAGCAGGAGATGGATTCTTTGCTAGAGCCCCCCAGATAGGAATGTAGATTATCAACCTGATGTTAGTGTGGTAAGTTGTGTAGTAGATTTCTGACCTACAAAACTCTATGATAACAAACTTATGCTGTAAGTCACAAGGTTTATGGTAATTTGTCAGAGCTGCAACAGGAGATGGATACATTGAATTTTGTATTGAATTAGTTAATTAACCAATGTTAGCAGCAATACTATTACGTTCAAGAATAGATCAAGTTTCAAAATTATATGGAGCAATGAGGGCTGAGTGCTTGGATATATTGAGTTGGAGAGGCAATGACATGGCAATACTAGGACCACACTTAGCCATGTGACAGAATTTAGGAGGTGGTGGTAATAACATTGAAAAAAAGTGCCAAGGAGGTGACACAGGGAAAGACTCTCCATCCAAGGGGCTATTGTCTTGAGTTTTCAATTCTTCTGGTTCTGTTTGACTTCCATTCTAAATGTATGTTCACTATAATTGGAATATATGGACTTTGTTTTTAAAAATCATCAGAGTCAAGCCGGGCGTGATGGCACACGCCTTTAGTCCCAGCACTCAGGAGGCAGAGGCAGGCAGATTTCTGTAAGTTCAAGGCCAGCCTGGCCTACATAGTGAGTTCCAGGCTAGTTGGGGCTACAGGGAGACCCTGCCTCAAAAAGACCCCCAAAAGTCATTAGAGTCATATTAAGTAAATTTCAAAGACAGATTCCAATAATTTTATTTATGGATTTAAATCATGATAAATAAATGAGTAATACTTTAAGATTTGCTTTGTAGGTTTTCAAAGAAAAATCTGAAAAACTTTAAATGTTTTTCCTTTCTTTGTTTATGAAACTTTTTAACAATGCAAATATTTTGTGTTCTATAAGTGACATGGAGTTCAAATATAAGACTCATTCGAAGTGACAACCCTGTCTTTATTGTAAGTGGGAAATGAATGGGGGAGAGCCCCAGACAAACCCAGGCTGGTAGTTAGGGACATGTAAAGCAATGGGAGGGGGCATGTATTGCTATGTCAGATTAGGAAGGGTAATGTGAACATTATACTGAAAGTTCTGAGATAGAAAAAGTGAATAAATGTCCATTACTGAGCTGTTTAATTCACTAGATTCCTTCCTTTCATCAAAGTATATCACTATCCTAGTGAGAGCTACCATCATCATAGAAGCAAGCTCTAGCCTGTACTAAAATTCAACATCTATTTTTTTTCTTTTCTTTTGTTTTTACATTTTTGATTTCAGATAGGGTAACCCTCTGTAGACCAGGCTGTCCTTGAACTCACCATCCTCCTATTTTAGCCTCCCAAGTGCTGGGATTTCAGGTGTGTATTAGCACACCATCCTCAACATGTATAACGTGATCAAGTTTTAGTGCCTGATTGTGAGGCCACACCTCTAGCCTGCCTATCCATGTGCTGTATGGGTCTCCCAGGAAACTCCCATTTCTACTATGGCTCTTCTCTTATTCTAAAATGGCCTATTTCCTCTAACACCTATGAAAGAGATGAAACTCAAATCAGCCCCTTTTTCTGTGATGTCAAAAGATTTGGCCATAGGAAAGGTTGAAATCATTGGGTCTACTGCCAGCCAAACTTGTCAAGGAAGGAGTTTTAGTCCTTAGCATCAAAACACATTTATTTGTGCCTATCCATTATGTCAAAATACCATTAACAGGAATGGAGAGATGGCTCGTCAGTTAAGTGCACTGGTTACTCTTGCAGAGGACCTGGGTTCAGTTCCCAACACCAACACAGCAACTAACAACTGTCTGTAACTCCAGGTCCAGGGAATTTCATGCCCTTTTCTGGCCTCCACCGGTATTGCATAGCATGGGTGCACTTACATGCATGCAGGCAAAACACTCATCCCCATAAAATAAAAATAAATACATTCAAAAAAACACTAAAAAGAATTACTGTTCTGTAATTTTTAAAATTTGTTTATAAGATACTACTTCATGTGAGTGAACATTTACAGGAGTGACAGTCTTGTGTACAGCAAAGAGTAGTACAGATTGGTTCAAGTTGTCTTTAGGTTATTTGTTTATCTGTTTGGGGGTTTTGTGGGGATTTTTTGGAGACAGGATCTTCTTGTAGCCTCAGCTGGCCTGGAACTCCCTATGTAGTCCAAGCTGGCTTCCATCTCACAGAGATCGAACTGCCCCTGCCTTCCTAGCTCTGTGATTAAAGGCATGAGCCACTACGCCTTTTTAGGTTATTTTGACAATCAAATTTCTTGGAATTCCTGAAAGAAATTCCAAGCCTGTATGCAAAAATCTAGGATTGGTTGCAATCGTGAATAATTGTCCATATCAAAATCCTTAAAAGGAAATTTTAGGACAAATTTAAAGATAAAAATATAGCTAAATGGTGCATTTAATCAGTGAAATGCTAGATAGCAATCAAATTGTTTAATGATACAAGACAATTTTCAGGATATACTAACATAAGAAAAACCAACTTATACATACTTTATGTGATTTGATCCTTATTATCATGCATATAAATATATGTGCGCATATATTCATATACTTATATACAGAACAATATATGCTCAAATATTGTCATTTATCTCTGGGTGGTATAATTATATGTGGGTTTTATTTTCTTCTTTTATCTGTTATTTCAGAAGTTTCTCCAATAAGCATGTATTATTTTTAAGATATATTTCTTTGGGGCTGGAGAGATGGCTTAAGGTTAAGAGCACTGACTGCTCTTGCAGAGGACCTGGGTTTGATGCCCAACACCCATATGGCAGATAACAACCATCTGTACCTCCAGTTCCTGGGAATCTGACGCCCTCTTCTGACCTCTGTGGACATTGCATGACACTGGTACACTTACATACATGCAGGCAATACACTCATACACACTAAATGAAAATAATAAATAGAATATTTTAAAAATAAAAAAGATATTTTTATTTTATGTATATGTGTATATGCACTATATGCATGAAGGTGCTAATGTGGTCCGAAGAGAGCATTGGATCCTCTGGGACTGGAGTTTCAGGAAGTTGTGAACTGTTCAATGTGGGTGCTGGGAAATGAACCCAGGACCTCTACAAGAGCAGTAAGTGCTCTTAACCACTGAGCCATCACTCCAGTCCCAAGCTGAATTATTCTTCAACAGAAGAAAATCGAATTACTTTTCTTTTAAGGGATCTGAACATTTTTCCAAAACAAAAAAACTCAGTAACTCTTGTAGCTTACACATTCAGAAGGTGACTGATCTAGTCCAACTCATAAGAGAGTCATGGCATAATAAGCATAAAGTCTGTGTTAAAGAAAGCACAGTTAGTAAAAGTTAATTCACGCAGATGTACTCATTTCTTTCTACATATTTAATGAACATTGATCAACAACTTAAATTCTTAGCCATCTCCTTAGTTTGAAATGCACCAAACTGTTATATAACATAGTATAAACAGTGCCATCTGTAGTTAAAATTTGGGGGCCTGGTGAAATGGCTCAGTGTATAAGGGTGCTTGTTGTAAAAGCAAGATGACCTGAGTTCAAATCCCCATCACATATGTCAAAACTCAGCATGGTCTCATGTGCTTCTAACTCCAGCACTGGGGGTCAGAGATAGATCCTAGGAGCTTGCTGCCCTGCCCGCCTTGCTGAAACAGTGGGCTTCAGGTTCAGTGGGAAACCCTGTCTCAAAAAGAAAAGAAAAAGGTAAGGTTAAGTGCATATGCATGCATAGGCACTCCCTCCCCCCCACAAGTCTGCATAAACTATACGCCACACGCACACACACGCACACACACGCACACACACGCACACACACACACACACACACACACGAAAAGAGTTAAAAACTGGAAGAACTGCTTCACCAAAAACCCGTCTTTGTAGAGAACTAACTGAAAAGAAATACTAATCAGTGTTGAAAATAATGGTGAATTAACATGCTGCCCTCTTTTGGTGGTTATTTGCAGCTCAATTTTCATTCATTTTCATTAAAAATGTTAATCTCCTACAAATATGTGAGCAAACTTAACTAATACTAAATCACCATTTTCCTTGACAGAAAATGCTGATAATTCCAGTTTATTACCACCTTCTGGTAAGGCTTATTTTTATGACTTTGGGAAATTTCAAGAAAATGTTACTCTAAAAGTTCTCAATGCAGTATGGCATATGGTCAGATACAAGAAAATAGTTTTCCTCTAAACAGCTTGATTCAATTGCCATTAAACATACACCTTGAAGACCAATAGCAACCACAGACAAGAAGACAGATATATTGATCTGTCCATATTGCTTGGCAAAGCTGGAGAATAAATCACTGGGAAAGAAATCATGAGTTTTCATTATGGTAGCTGCTTAAGTTCTTTGGTTATGTGTGGTATTCTAGCTCACAAGTCTAAACAGCATCAAGAACTTAAATGTGCTGAATTTTCTTATATTTACCGGATAAGAGGTTCTCTTATATGTATTCCTCCAATACCTTCACTGAATGAATTTTTCCCCAAAGACTTCAAAAAGCTTAGAACTTACTATAATGGGAAGACAAAGGAGTTAAAGAGAAATTTATAGCTAGAACCTATAGGAACTGAGAACAGTACTCTAAATTGAGACTAATAACTGGAACTGAGTGTCCTTAGAGATAAGTGGTTTAACACCATCCTTTAGCTGATGACAGAACAAAGCCTAGAGCTGCTGAATAGCTTGTCTAAGATCTCACAGCTTCTTGCTGCACATCACACAAGAGCAGCACATGGTTTCTCTGATTCCTGCTTCTGTATTCTCACTAGTATACCATATATCCTAGAACTGCTATGAGTCAATTCGCATTCCACCCTCAGTTGTATGAAAATGAACTTCTATTGCTTTTCATTCATTTGTTTAAATAATAGCAATCATTTCCCATGCCTGGGAGTGTTCAGACATCTTCCCATTCCTCTCAGCATAGGAATCATTATATTCGTGTTCTATATGAGGAAACAGTCTCAACAGGGGAAAATTGGATCACATTTACACATTCTCTGAAACCAGTCTGTCTGTTGGAGTTTCAATTTAGCCACCATCCTCCTACATCCATTGCTAACTTGGGGTTTGGGCCAGTGCCTTAACATTTCTATGCCTCAGTTTCCTCCTTTGTAAATTAGGAAATACAAAGGTGCCTGCTTCATAGGGTATTCATAAAGATGAAATAAGACGCTATGAATGCCTGGTATAGAGTGAAAACATGACTGTCATTGGTATGAGTTATTAAGTCATGGACTGAAGATTCAAACCCTAGACTGCAAGCCATCAAAGCCCATGCTCTATTGGCCATGTCAGTTTGTTCCCCAGTTGTTAATCTTGCAGGGCCCAACACACTAGAATATTTTTCTTCCAAATGAATAGCTTTCAGCAAACTCAGTGGTGGTAATGTCTTCAAAATCATTCCTACATGGAATGGTAAGCAGGGCTTTGTGAATACACACTGCTTCTAGTCCCAGCCTGGCTTCTGGATGCCCTGGTGGTAGAGCTACACAAACAGGATTGTAGGACCCAATGTTGAGTCAAGGGAGAAAGGCAGCTGTGCCCTCAGGACTCTGCTTTGAATTGTGTCACCATTCATCAACATTCAAAAGAGTTACTAGTTATTCATTAAAACACAGCTCTGATCAATTATTTTACTCTGCATTGAAAGCAAAGGAGTCCATATCCACACTTTTACAGGAATTGCTCAGGACCAGTGTTACTCCTCAAGAAATATTCTTGGTAATTGTTTAAAAGAATAAATATAGTAAGTGACAAAATATGAAAGCAATAATGTGGGACAGAGAGACAGAGTGTGTGTGTGTGTTAGCCAACGCATGAGCAGTCTGAAAAAGGCCAGCCAAGTGCCTTGACACACCCAGATTTTGTCCATACCAGCTGAAAACCAAGCTCCCTACTGTAAGATTTGTTTTAGTTACAAAATGTTTGCATTTTGCCTCATGTTTAGGTAGACATCAAGCCACTGGATCTTTTAAATATTTAAACATGTGAAATGTGTGTAGTAGATTGATTTCCTAGCATAAGTGGAGTCATTCCACAGGAAATTTATAACGTAATTGATTTTTTGTCCATACCAGCTGAAAACCAAGCTCCCTACTGTAAGATTTGTTTTAGTTACAAAATGTTTGCATTTTGCCTCATGTTTAGGTAGACATCAAGCCACTGGATCTTTTAAATATTTAAACATGTGAAATGTGTGTAGTAGATTGATTTCCTAGCATAAGTGGAGTCATTCCACAGGAAATTTATAACGTAATTGATTTTTTTAAAAAGCAACCATCCTTTAAAATAGCTTACCAGGAAAATCAGTTAGGT